AACGATCCTGTTTACCGAATGCTCCGGGGCAGCGACACAGAACCTCAGCACTGAGGTCGAGGCTACCTGATGATGGGGCTTTCGTGTCGTGAGGCCTTCTATGGGTACTAGGTCGAGGTCAAAGCCTCAAGACCGTTTTCATTGGTACTCAACGAGCGGCGGCTTACGTATATTTCTATAATTTAATGCTTTGGTAGGAGCCTGTATAGTAGTCGGCGCAATCCAATTGATCACGTGGCGCTGATTACCCGGAATCCCCCACCGCTCGTCTCCCGCTGCCTTACTCGAATCGCGGAGGAAGACGCTTCGCGACAGGATATACTCGGCTAAAAATCCAGTGCACGTGCACCAAGATCGTACGGTGCCAACGTCAAAGGCCAAGACCCAGAGAGGCGTTCTGGAGGATCCTCGAAACTCTTGCGAACGAGGATATTGCGACGTTCGTCTGGCTTTCACCGTTTCTACGCTCGTAAAATTCTAAATGACCACGTCGACCCGGGATACCAGAGCCGAACCTCGTGTCTATCGTTGACTTTAAATATGACTCAACGACGCTAACGTCCAGTTACGTATTTTTATCGGAGACTTAACAACGGCGATCGGTACGTCCTGTCGGTAAAACAGAACACCGCGAAACGTCATGATATACGATATTGGGTGACATAAGAAAAACAAAACAAAAATCAGATTCTCATTTAAATTCTAAGGACGAATCACGAGGAAAGTTACGTCTGAGATCTCGGATTGGTCCACTCTGCGATCCGAAACGAGTATCGGATTCGAGGAAAGTCAGTGATTGGGTCGAGAAGCGTAACGCTCGGTATTAATAATTTATCGTAACCGTAAAGCCGCGAGCAGGCGGACGTGACGTCACGAACGGCAAAAGCGTCTGGCCGAGTTCCGGCAGAGATTTGTTGCTCCGCCGAGTAAAATCGGGCTCGTGTCTCTGTGAACTGTAATAATACTGAGTCAACAGCCGTTAAAGACTTGGTAAAAAATCTTAAGGAATTTAACAAAAAATTTTTTACGCGACGAATCGAAGAGGGAAACGCGGAAGCTGCGCGGACCGTGATATTACGTAACCGGAGTATATCCATGCACGTGAGCACAATGTAACAGGGGTAAGTATGTAGTACGTACTATTTTGCGAGTGATACAAAAATTCAAAACTGTATTCGTTCGCGTTGGGAATACATGAGTGTCTAGGTATGTCTACCTGGCGAAGGGAGGGAGGGAGGGAGGGAGGGAGGCCTGTCTGGTGGAAACACGCCAATGCGTTACGTCACGGCGAGGTCGAGGGTTGTCGAGAAAGGAGGGTATAGGACGAGCCGTAGGCAGCGCCCGCAATCCGCACGTGACCCCTCGGTCGCGTATCTGGGCCACATGGATTCTCACCACCACCACCCCGACCCCTTCCTGTATGGGGTGTCCCGGCAGTTCCGCAAGGGGCAATATTTTTTTTTTAGTCCGCCTATTATTTTCAACCCGCGCGCACAGCATCCCTTAGTCATGGTTATGTACCTTTTGCACGAGACTCGTACCGAGGGTGCAGAGGTACGTGAAACAATTCTTCCTAGAGCCAAAAAAATTCGTCATGGGTGAAATTGACAACTTACCCTTAAGTGGGTCACGCGACGCCCCGACTAACGTGATATCAAAGTAAATTTAAGGTTAGGTTGGGCTAAACACGAAAAAGAGGTCCTGCCTCATATCAGGGCTTGAATTTTGCTTCAAACGAGGATCAACGCTTTTCGTTCTGTATTCAAGGTACTTTCTAACGTTCTGTATACAAAGGAGTAATTTCGTCCCCCGACGAAAGGGGTCGTCGTTGCGGCGAAAGAAAAATTGGATCCAACCCGGGATGATTAGATGACTTATGGTGATGGGTGGGGTGGGGGGGAGCTCGAGTAGTCGAACAGATAGGAAGATTCGAATGGCGAGTGGTTTAAATAGGGTGGATTCCTCGTGCGTGGGGAGGGGGATGACAGGGTCGCCGGGGGTCAGGGTCAGTCTGGCGCGTGGGCGAGAAACCCGAAAGGGAAACTGGTAAGTCGATATCCACCCTCCCCTTCGTTCCCTTCACACCCTCCCCCCCCTTTCCGCTAACCCCGCCTACGGCTTTCCCACGCGGTACCACTCTTTCATCCCCTATACCCCTTCAGCAGCTCTATACCACGGTAATCGACCCCCTCGGCTCCTTCGCCCCTTCAACCCTCGCAGTATGTTTCCCTTCAAGTACCTACACCGCAGCACGTAATCCCACGGGCTCGTAAAGTTCCCGTAGTAATTTACCCATCGCGCGTTTCTATATTTTATCTGGCCCCTACAACAATTCAGAACTATACTCCCCTATCGAATCGTAGGTAGACGAGGAATACGCGTATTCGTGCCGTAGAAATACGAAGGGATCAAAACTACACTGATTCCAATTTTGGACAGCAGTCCCGCGTAGGGGATACACGGTGTACGGGGCTATTGTAAATTCAAAAATTGTAAAATTTTTTTGTCATGAAAATTTTTTAACCTCAAGGGAACCAAATATTTTTTTAATACCCGGACGGCTTATAATTGACGTGGTCGCTGAGGAAGTCGGTGGAGAGAGGCGGGGAGGGGGGGGTAGGGGGGTAGTAAAGAAACGGAAGTATCCCCCAGGAGATAGATCGAAGCCTTCGAGACTGACAAGCATAGCCGTTTAGGGTAGTAAAAGTAAAAGCGCCGAGCAACCCCTTTTTCAAGAGTGCCCGTCCGACGTATCCACTTTAAGGACGACCCAGACAGCGCCTTTCGCCCGCTATTTCGGCCTTATATCCCCGGTAGGCTGTTACGCACCCCCCCCCCCTTCGTTCACTGTCGTTCCGTTGTGTCGGAACGGCAGAAACGAGAGTCCTTCCCCCCCTCCTTAAAGGGGGTGAGTTTAGAAGCGCACGAGGAGCGAGCCCGAGGGTGATTTTATTTAAATCGAACCACTCGAGACCTATAATAGAAGGGTGACTCTGTCGCTCGTTCTGTTTCACCCTCTGGCGGGCAACGGTAGAACCAACAGCAGCGACCAAACTACAAACTGTATCGTGCGTATCCGAGACGATTTTCTTTTACGAGAATTCCAATTAGGCGATTTTCCGAACGATCGTGAAAATCGCCTGTAAATCGGTCGCTGACGACAGTAAAAATTCCGTCGTTATCAATTACTCGCTGACTCACCGGATGACCTTATTCGCTCGGTTCCAAGCATAACCTCAATTTCACGACAATCCTTAAATAAATGGCCACACGCGCCTCGGGACGACCAGCTTGTTTACAAATTTCTTCCTTATCTACGCAAGACGCTCCCCCTGGGCCCTAAAGACTCCCCAGCGCCGCCCTCGGTCACCACGCGTCTTACCTACATCCACAGTGAGTTAGGTATACGCCGGCGGTGACGTCATCGTCTACACCCAGCACCACGTGCGCACCGCATTGGCGTCTCGCCTTAAAGATTTACCAAGGATTCCTAAAGGACGCCTGAGAATCGTACGACAGCCAACATCGTACGAAAATTTCGTGTTGAAGTAAGGTATGGTACAATGGAGAATTCCAAGGGAGAAAAAGGGGGGTCTCTGCACGTGTTCGAAAAAATGTATTTCGATACCGAGTGAAAAAACAACTTTAGAATGTAAAACTGTACAGGGCTTGTGACACTGTGTTAATACCAACTTACCCTCCCTTGCCTCTTATTACCCAGGGTGAGTGCTCAGCCTACTTACGCTACTTGTGTATAATTGATTTTCTTTTTATTACCGTACACAAAGGCGAAGACTTTTCTAGAAGCCTAGTTGATAATGCAGTGAAGTTAGCTGCTCATTGCACAGAGGCAGCAACGGTGCGATAGCAGCTGTATTCATAGAGCAGGCGATAGCGCTGGGGTGGCATCGCTGCTTCTCGGGTATGTCTTGGCCACGATATACTCATTGGAGGATTTGGCAGCCGCGCCAATGCGCCGTAGTTGGATACCGCCCAAAGGTAATAAATTTCAAATCAGGTCATTGCTTCTCTTTGCGCTTAGCGTGATACAACGTTGGTCAACATCTAGCATCTGCGGCTGGTGACTCTTACGCGGAATTATGAATATTACAATAGGACGTTGAGGCAATAAAAAAAAAAAACATTGGCAAGTCCTAGGCCGTCCTTATGAAAATCCAACGCAACCAGTGAGTACGGACGGCGACGGAAGCACGTCTTTACTCTGGATACTATCGTATAACGTATCGACGACAATGACACGTGGAAGAGCAAAGGTTCAGGATTACCGGCGGCAATGCGAGCTGCCTATACTTATTTATGTGCGAGTTAATGTACGCGAGCGATGACTGCCAATTATTAATCCAAAGTCACGAGTTTACGCGTAGGAAATGATGGCGCAGCAGTCGTCGATCTGGCGGAGTATAAATGGGGGGTCGATGGGTTAAGAAAAATTAAATTTTGAAAATTTTCGAAATTTTTTTTTTTCCCTTTCCCTTCATTATATTTCTCTCGATGCATTCGATCGACATCGAACTTATCGGATAGAACGATAATGATCGAAGCCCACGGTCCGATGACTCGAATAAGAAAAAATAATTGGGAATTTTTCGGGTATTTTCATACAGACAGCGGAAAGGGCGTGGTACCGTTAAACTTCCGGTTGAACAAAAATATAGGTTAGACAGACTCTGCTGAACGGCCGTGCGAGATTAGATATTTCGTTTTTTCACTTCCCCCTTGATAGTCGTCCTCCCCCCTCCTCTGGCCCTCTCCCCCATAATACACGTTTCCGTTACGACATTACGTAACTCCGGAGAAGGTCGTACAGTAATCGCTCGTTATGAGTATTTAATACAAAGAAATATAACCACGGTGAATTTTTTTTTAAGATTCACGTAAACCATACGAATGACCCGGTCCTGGTGGTAAGATCCAAGAGAAAGTAATTTACTAATAAAAACTAATTTATCAGCCAATTAAATCAGAAAACGAGAACTCACCGGCGTGGAAGGATGACGCTGGTGATTTTGCAGAAGGAGATGATGCTGGTGCGAAGGTGGGGGTTCCTCCCGATTGTGATGACGATGATGATGATGATGATGGTGGTGGTGGTGATGATGTAAAATCGAGGAGGAGGCGGCGGTGGGGCCGTGGGGTAACCGACGATGATGAAGATGATGCGAGACCGTGGCCAGAACGCCCACCAGCGCTCCGACGGCCAGGACGAGCACCACTGACACTATGTACCCACTTGCGCTCACTGTCAACAGTCACCAAAAAAAAAAAAAAAAAAAAAAAAAAAAAAAAAAAAAAAAAAAAAAAAAATGGAATTCCCATGAAATTTTCATCATTCGCAACCAAACGGCAATCTCCCTTACACGTGACAAGGACATGAAGAAATCTCAAAAAAAAAAAAAGAATGCGATAAAAGAAAAACCAGTATCTTATCAAAGCTCACGTCACGGTCTGACTCGTAACGCAAGACTCATTCCAAGAGGAACTCTGTGCTATGAGCTGTACGCGATAACAGGGTCAATGGTGAATCCCCGTTAAATATAAATGGCAATAGCAGAAGCTTGGATCTATTGAAATAGCCATGTGAAATGCTAAATAACAGTCCGGTAGGATAGGCGCTAAATTTTTCATAAACTTCCCGCAGCTCCCACGTTCTCCGTACACGATCATTAAGCCAGGACAAAATCCGATGCGTTCAACGATCGTACTCAGTCCCGTCCGCGCACCCTCGGCCCCTTTTCCCATCCTCGCCCATTTTCCCTCGCTCTCCAGCGTCTTACCTACCTAAGCCAGTTCGATCGGTGCGACGCGCAGCGGGCCAAATACTTTTCACGTAAATATTTGACGCGACATTTAGAACGTCTGCTAATAACATTACCTCGTCTACCGGATGTCTCTCGAAGGTTCCTTGACATCATCAACAAATTTTCCATTCTTCCTCGGGTTGACGCGCGCACGTGTCTCGTATGCTGTTATACCTTGATCCCGTCGAACATTTCGAGTATATACCGAGCGCCAACAAAGATTATCATTATTGATGATGTTTTTGCTCCGACGATCCGCAGTGCCGTCGGTAGTGACGTAAAGCCAATGATTACCACACAGTCAACAGAGCAGTCTACGAGGATGACTCAAGGACTGTCTTTTCGTTTCAACGTCGGAGTACGAGGATGGCATCGTCCGGTCGGAGCCATCCAGATTGGCAGGTGCTGGGAGTAGGTACCCGGTGCACCGATGGACTTCTTCGGGTTGTGAGAGAGAAGCGGGCGAGGGGGGGGGCGAGGGGGAAAGTAGGAGCTACGAAGAGCGACGTGTACGGAGTTGGATGCCCCGGGTTAACGTGTTAGAGGACTAAGCCAGTGCAGTGTCCACGTGCGTGTGACGTATCCGTGTGCACGTGCACGCTCGCGCACAGGGCGACCAAGGGGCTATGGCGGCAGTGCAGCGCATGCAGTGCACCAGACAAAAAACGATGAGCCACGGTGGGGGCCAGACGGGGGGCAAAAACACGCGACGGGCCCCAAACCCCAGGCCCCCTCTGCTGCTGCAACCGACTCCCTTACATACGCTTGCACTTAAGCCCGCTGCCTGCTTGTTTTACCTAGTTGCGTAAACTCGTACAGTACTCGTACGGAGGCCAGTGCTTGTCGGCCAGTGTGACGAGTTAGGTGAATTTGGAAAAAAAAAAAAAAAATTACTTTCGGTAGAATGACAAACGTAAAATAGTAAGGTGGGGATCCATTTCTTCGGAGGGGGTGAACGTGTCGAGGGGGTGGGGGTTTGATCGAATTTTTTTTCGGAAAGGTACCGTTTTCTGATAATACGAAAAAAAAGGGATGGTATATGAATTTCAAGTGAATTCAAAGAATAAGGCGGGACTCGCGTTCAGGTAAAGAAACAGGATCCGCCCGGGTACCGTCATAAGGTATATCGAGGATAAAAGTATCCAAGGACATCGGGGATGGTATAGGGATTTCTTTTTTTAACAGTGGCAGACCTAATGGTACCTAGAAGGTGGTCGGTCGGGTGAAACCTTTCGTAAAGGGATGGTCACTCGTCGCGCGAGGACCACACGTGACTTTTTCTTTTAACGAATATCGTGGAGGATTTTAATGCAGTAAATTCTCAATGACGAAATATCAACGTGACTGTTCTCTTGAAATTTTGTCTCGTCTACCTGGATTCGTCCCTTCGTTTACTTTCTTAGTCAAAATTGCCTTACGGCGCTCCTTTCCACTTCGGCGTTCATATGCGCGACATACTTGCTACGTGTCAATCGATCGCTCGATTTGTTGACTAGCCGAACTATCGCCGTCGCGATTGAGTCGCGGGTGACGTTGGACTATAAATTAGGGGTAATCGATGAATTAAGATAAGAACGATCTTTCTCTTTAACGTTCGAATAAAAGTCTGCCGAGATTCTTGTGCCTCTACGGACTCGAGCATCGAAGCTCTCAGGTGGTTCGCTTACATTGAAGATACCGCGCGATAACGCATGCAGGTCCACGTCACACCCCTGCACCCTCCAATTACGTAAACTACTCATAATAGATAGCTCGTTGAGCGTTATTGGCCACAACCGGGCGCGTGACGTAGCCAGTGCAGAATATACGCACAGAGTCATCCACGCGTATCAGATTCACGTGTGGAAGCGCGTGCATTGGTACGGCAGTGACCCACGCGAAGTGTATTCCGAAATCTCCACAGTGAGAAATGCCAAATGGGAATCGAAATCGAGAAAAACAAATTTTTTTCATCGCTCTCTAACCCCCCCTCGAAAATTTCTGGAAATCTATTTTGCCTTTCATCGCAATATCGAATTGGCGGAGTATTCGCGGAATTTATTACGTACCTACTACGGGTTTTGCCAACGTAAAAAAAAAAAAAAAAAAAAAAAAAATAATAAAAATGAAAAAAAAAACATACCACCGACAAAAAAGCAGACATCGCCATAAGAAACTATAGGCGGCACGCGAAAGAGTCTTTGCGAAGCGATAAGAAACTAAAATAGACGCCTTTTTTGGAACGTGTACTCGTGGCAATGTTTTCCATAAAAAAAAAGAAGAAAAAAAAAAGAAGAAAAAAAAAAGAAGAAAAAAAAAGAAGAAAAACGTCAAGCCGTTCCTCCGTATTATTAAACGCGAACGCGCAGAAGTAGCAGAACTCGTAGAGGGGTTAGGTGGAAGAAGTATGTAAAAGGTTAGATAGCACGTAATCACGTAATCGCGCAGCGACGCAGTGTCACGTAGCAATGGCGTCTGGTGGTTATCAGCTAATTTGAAATCACCAAGGTTCCTTTTATCGGCTGGCATAAGTGCTGCCGTGTCGTTCCAATGAAAATCTAAACTGAAATCCGGTTTGTATTTTGCCGTCAAACTCCCTCCCTCCGCCCCCTACCGTCTCGGTAGACGGGTCCAGGGCCATCCAGCGTTCAGTATCCAGCATCCCTACTCGGCCCTTGCGAGCCTGAGAGACGTCGGCTTTGCTCGGGTCGAACACGTGTCTAACTGTACATTGGCGTGGAAAGCCTCCCCCGTCGATGTTCCGAATAAGTTTTTCCACTTTTCCGATGTACCACCGAGAGAGATAGAGACAACGGGGAAACGCGTCGAGAGTATCGCGTGTGTCGAGTGATATTGAAAATATCTAATTAGAGTGGGGAAAAATGAAAAGAACAAACACAGCTGATAATCACGTTGGCTCTGCGACAACAAAGACGACTCGCTCGATTCGGTTTAGCCTGATCTTGCGCCTCTGCTGTTTCTATGCCGTAACACAAGGATCCTAACCTCGAATTCAGCTCCTACGACATCCCGTGTCTCTTGCGCCTCCGGTATACGTGTACCGTATCGTAGAGTCCGGTCTAGCTGCTTCTAGCCACGCAGTACAGCGTGCTCTTTGTCCTGTGACCTAGATGGGAACGGCAGCGTGGCAGCGTGGCAGTGTAACGCCATTACACTGCTGCTATGCTTATTATGTCTAGCATGCGACTGTACTGAGTCAGGCTTGGCGCGGGTTGGTACGGTGAGGCTTTTGGAAAAAACTTGCCTGCTCAAAGAAATTGCATAAGCGGACGAGCGTTGCGGAGCGAGAAATAAACATTCGGCTAATAATAACGGGAGGATGGAATTTGTCTTGTTCGATACCGAGAAGGATGATGCGTTGACGGTGGAGAATGGAGAGAGATAGAGAAGCAAAAAGAAAGCATACACGTAAATCATACAATTTCATAACCAAATGGATCCTTGATCCCTCTCAGGCAGCTGCCACGCGCGTCCGTTAATAATCAAATGAACTTTTTGCCGCAGAATTCTTCGTCACCGAAGAACGTCACGTGGATTCGTAGTATTGCGTAACGCGTATGTCCAATCCGCGCGAGTTACGAACGGCCGGCAGTCCTTTGTCCGCGACGACTTAACTGCATTGTGAGTATCGTCCAGCCAAAGTCTACCTAGTGGATTGCGCTAGAGGACAAAAAATCGTCCTTCGTATGCAAATGAGGTTAGTCGGGAGGCACGTAGATGGCTTTCACCGTCTTTAAGAAATGAGTGAGAGAGAGAGAGAGAGAAGTGAATGATTGTCCGAGCCAACTCCCGGTGAGAGGGAAGGAGGGAAAAGCGGCAGGAGGGGGGAGGGTAGATACGAAGACGTAAACCGAGACGTCGCAGGCCGTCACGACGGCCTCAAACTCTTTTATCCAAAGCGTCGAGGCTCCTTGACCGGCTCGCTCCTTCTCCAATCAGCCCTCGGATTCATCGACGAGTAACACGTAAGAGTGAAAAAGAAGTGAAGTTAGCGAGGAGCTTTGTCGAATATAAAAAGGATGAAATAAAATTCATATGCCAGAAATAACCTAGCGGATTTCACCTGTGTATAATATGGTATATAGAAGGACGCGTGGGATCGCGCTACAGTGTAGTCGAATAATTCGTCCTTGCGAGAGTGAGTAAGGGATGGATGCACCGTGATGGATACGAGTGCGAGGAGGAAGGGAGAGTAGAATTTTGAAACGTGCGCGGAACAGAGAGGGGAGTCGGCTTGTGCCGGTTACAATAGCATAGGGGTACCATCAGGTTGGCGTGGCAGTTCGCTGGCCAAGGCCAGAACGTCGCACAGCCCGATTATTTTTAGCGCTTCCTACTATTGTGCAAAGACCGAGTCTGTCAAGTGTCTAGTCTTTCGCTTTGGGGACCTCTCTGCCACTTGACTCGCTCTCTCTCTCTCTGACGCAGGCACCGGCCTCTC